AAAATGTTATTCATCAAATCTAGTTTATCCATAAACAAATTCAGCTAAAAATTCAATCGGGAAGACAGTCAAATATTTTTTTGAAGATAACTGCGCCAAATTATACATATAAAACGCAATTATTTTTAAAATTTGTTTTGGCTGCCTTTCCAATGGATTTTTAGCTGAATTTTTGTGTGGATAAACTAGATTTCATAAGTTTTGGTTCAAATAAGAACATGATCTTAGAAGAAAAATGAGAATGAATCTGAATCGTTAGATTTGCTTTATGTGAAATGAGAACAAATGAAGTGGTGGTGGCCCCCATTTGCCTCTTTTGTGTCCGCCACCACTGTATATACGTGAAAGACAAATGTCTTTATGATAAAGATATAACTGCTTTCAATTTTATGGAAATATGAAATGCATTGTTTTTGTTGTATTTAGAATTATATGTAATTTTTTTAGTCAAAACCAGTGATTCATTAAGCATTTGCATTGAAAACAAATATATTGTTCAAATGTTATTTCAGCTCGGAGTATTGAAATTATAAATGATTTTTAAATGTTTAATCACGAAATTATAAATATTTTATACTATGTAGCATTTGAATGTCATAGTCTTATAAAGTTTGTTGATCTATTTTGCCTGGGTTAATTAGTTGTAGACGGCTGGTTTAGAAATTACAAAATCAAAGTTTGCATCGAGACAGAAGTGATTTTCAACAATTTGGGTATATTCGGGTCAAAATGTACACACTTGAACATAATAAAGTTGCAGTATAATACTAGGTGTAAAAACACCTATATAAGATCCACAATTCATAAATACGGGTTCGTTATACAATTTTGAGAGCAAAGCTCAACGTCTTTGTGCCAATTGAGACGCCGCCCTTCATCTTCGAAGTAACCACCAAACGCGGAATAGCGGATTGGTGGTCGTATTATTTTGCGTTGCCCCACTATAGCTCTCTTCTGTCCTATCTGCGTTATCTTGTTCTCTATTTCTCCACCATTTTCTCCCACTACAAGCTTTCCAGAAGCCGCCAAACAAGAAACCAGAAAGCTTCAATCTTTGAATCAAGAACCCCAAACCGGGGAGTACTGATACCTAGAATGGCCGTTTCAAAGAAGCAGCAGTCTTATATTTCAGTGGCGTCGGATATGGCCAACTCTCCCCTTCAAGCTCTGGTGCTCCTCTCTTCCAAGAAGAGGCAAACACCCCCGTTTTCTGCCAAGCTCAGATTTTTTCTCTACAATCCGAGGTTTTGGTTTTTTTTGCTGTTTCTGTTTGGTCTCTCTGGGATGCTGAAGCTGTGGATTAGTTTTGACACTATGTTGCCTATCTCTCCCCCTTACCCGTGTTCGGATCATCAAAAAAAGGCACTTTTCAGTTCTCAGCTCGGAAGTGGTGGGGATGGCAAGAGCGAGTTCTGGAAGCAGCCTGATGGGTTGGGGTATAGGCCGTGTTTGGATTTCAGCGGGCACTATATGAAGGATAGTGCGGGGGTTGTGAAAGATAGGAGCAAGTATTTGATGGTAGTGGTTTCTGGAGGAATGAATCAACAGAGGAATCAGATTGTGGATGCTGTGGTGATTGCCAGGATTCTTGGAGCTGCTCTGGTTGTTCCCATCTTGCAAGTCAATGTTATTTGGGGTGATGAAAGGTTTGTGATTTCTCAGCGTCACTTAGAAACCCATCATAACCTCTTATGTTTTGGAATCCTCTTTACATATCTTAGTTTATTCTTCACAAAATGATTATTATTTAGTTCGTGATCCTTATCAAACTCAAAATTTTGAAAGAACATACTTTGTTGATTTAGTTTACTGATGTAAAGTATATTTAGTTCTATCAATGGTCACAAGTCGATGTAAAGGAGAGACCTAGTTTTGATTAGGAAATCACTAGGATATTTAAGTTACAACTCCAGTTCTAATTAAATACTGTGGATACTAAGTACAGGTTTAGTAAATATTAGTTATTGTTAAAAATCTCCACTTCCTATGAGATCAATTAATGTTTAGAAATTGTTCAAAATAGGACCAAAACATAGGCAAAGTTCTAAAGTAGGACCAAAAACGTTTTTTTTCCCTAAAATAGGACTTATTTAGCCCTATTAAAAGAATAAAAACTTCCCTAAATAGGAGTGCATGAGTCCTAGTATGGGTAGAAAACAATGTAACTCCATTTGAGAAAAACTGCATTCTTGTAGTCCTGTTTAGGGGATTTTCTCATCTAATGTTTTGTTATTATGTAACATATGCAGTGAGTTTTCGGATATCTTTGACTTGGATCACTTCAAGAAAGTTCTAGAGAATGATGTAAGAGTCTTGTCTTCCCTTCCATCAACACATGTGATGAGCAGAATTGTGGAAGAGAAACACACTCCCCTTCACGCTTCCCCTGAATGGATTCGCACACATTACGGCCGAAAGGTCAGTTTTTATGCCGTGTTTATGCTGTCAACTTACTTGGCTACATTTCATATCATATGATTTATATGCATTGTGTTGCATATCTGTCATTTTTATACAGTACAAACTTGATGTCTTTTTTGCAGCTTAGGAGGGAGGGTGTACTTTTATTGCGAGGTCTGGATTCAAGGCTCTCAAAGGAGCTTCCTTCTGATCTTCAAAAGCTTAGATGCAAGGTAGGTACTATTTTTGTAGCACTTCCTGAGTTTCACTTCTCTTGCTTTTTTAAAACTTTATGTGCCTAAACAAGTTATAATTACAACACGACATTTGAGTTGAGAAGAATCCTGAAGTGTTGGGATGGGATTTATTGGGCAAACAATGCGTGTTAAGTGTCCCACAATTACCGATCGGCATCTAACATACAAATTTGAGGTTAAATCTGACATGTAAGGATCCTTTCGGGGAGAGTAAGGCCTAACTAATAGAGTCAAACAACTGTTAATGAAAGATTATTTTGTACCTTTACTTTATGCCTCACCAGAAGTTTGGATTGTTCATCTTGGGGTCATAACTAAGTCTCTATTTGCTCTACGTGATTATGTGACATAAGAGGAACTATAATGATTTGTGTATAGAGTGCTCAACTTTTAATTGTAATTTTGATGAAATTATAGGTGGCTTTCCATGCCTTGAGATTTGCTCCACCTATATTGGAATTGGGTAATAAGCTGACAGAGAGGATGAGGAGCAAGGGACCATATCTCGCACTCCATCTGCGTATGGAGAAGGATGTATGGGTAAGGACGGGCTGTCTTCCTGGTTTGAATGGCAAGTATGATGAAATGATACAGAAAGAACGGAAGCTAAGACCTGAGCTTTTAACATCGCGATCAAACATGACCTACCATGAAAGGAAGCTAGCTGGTTTCTGCCCTTTAAATGCATTGGAGGTTACTCGGTATAAACAATTGCAATAAGGACTCATATTTGTCTAAAATAAATCGATTGGACAAAAGTGCGACTTTTAGTGCACAAAAATCATAGTCCACTTTCGCAGTGACTATAATAGCCATGCTAATTTTCAATCTTACACTGTCCTTGCCATGGTGATATTTTGTAGTGACTGTGTGGCTATATTTTGTCCAAACTCTTTTTATTCTAGTCATCATTTTCATTTACCCCAGTGCCGCAAAGGCTCCCACCTAAGGTGGGGTAAGGGGGGGTCGGATGTACGCAGTCTTACCCCTGTACTAAAGCACAAAGAGACTGTTTCCGGATGACCCATAGCGAAAATCGCGTCCAAAATTGCATGGACTGACTACTGCTCCATAACAAAGAAGCGCAGACAGTTTAGTGAGTCATTTTGCTTTATTCCATCATAATCTCAAGCCAAAAAATAATGAATCGTTGGCTCCATTGCAAATGATGGAAATAAACTCTTTTTACTCTAGTAATAAGTAGTATTATACGTAGTAGTAAAAACCTCCGATTGATTCATTTTACTTCAATGATGGACTTTTTTGCTTTGTATGTAGGTTGCTCAAAGCTTTGGGAGCTCCACAGAGCATGATGATCTATTGGGCAGGAGGAATGCCGTTGGGCGGGAAAGAGGCACTAGAGCCGTTGACCAAAGAGTTCCCACATTTCTACAATAAGGAAGACCTTGCACTGCCTGGGGAACTTGAGCCATTCGCAAAGAGAGCGTCCCTTATGGCCGGCATCGACTATATTGTTTCGGAGAACAGCGATGTCTTCATGCCATCTCATGGTGGGAACATGGGCCATGCCATCCAGGGACACAGGGCTTATGCCGGCCACAAAAAAACCATCACACCGAACAAACGGCAGATTCTCCCACACTTCATGAGTAACGCTTCACTCTCAGAAGCAGCAGAGTTTGACAGGATTATACTAGACTTGCACCGTGATTCGTTGGGTCGGCCTGAACTCAGGAAACCTGGTAGGGACATCACAAAATATCCTGTTCCAGACTGCATGTGCAAAAGCCACCCCTCCATCTAGAAATCTTGTTCAATTTCATCCATTGTTCTAATCCTGGTATAGGAATGCAAAGAGAGAACAGCCTGATTGGTCGGAGATGCAGCTCCCTCTGGAACCAAAGTCTATAATGTAAGCTGGTGGTCTTGGGGTGCACCGCTTTTTGGTATGCGTATAGGGATCCGGCAGAGATCATTCTTGCAACGACACGCCTGATATTGCTTCATTTTTTCGTTATATTATTATTCTTTGTAGATTGTATGTACCCTTCAATGAAGAAAGTAAGAAAATATATGATCATTGTATAGCAGATTCAGTACCGAGTATGTACGTAATATAATATCATTCAATTCAATTCATTCTTTATAGAGTTAAGTGATGTTCTTCAATCTTCATATGGAGCGCAGTAAATCATATATTGATCAATGTTTTTGTCCAAGAGTTTGTCTCAAATTGGTTAAATCAAGTTGTCCTAGTGATATTACAAGCTGTGATCGGAGTCTCAAATTTACATAGATCAAATCAGGCTAGTAAAAGATATCCTTAATCGTACGAGTTTAGTAGGTCACTCAATCGGGTCAACTCCACACTCGGATTCGAACAAAAAAACAGCAAACGTTAACGCGGATGTCAAACGCTTCGATTAACCAAAAAGTTCAGAATTCTTTTCACGTCCGCTTTTCCAGATTCATACTTCGCTCGTCTACCTTTCGGTATTGCCGACCGCTGAATCGACTAGCTGTCCGTTTATACCTTCAATCTCTCAATACTCTCTCTCTCATCACATCTGTAGCATCGATTCAATGATTGTTGGATTGTTCTCGAATGTCGAGAAGGAATCCTTAGTGTTCTGTTGTAATTCTTGAGTTTCTCGCAAAATTTTCATAGTTGTGTCCTAAGCTGTATATGGAATACGAGCCGTTCGATAGCAGTGGTGAGTCAAAGATTGGAGATTCAGTTTATTACTGATCAATGGGATTTTCGAATTAGCATTCTCTTGATAAGCTTGTGTTTAGTTCGATGAACTGGTTAGGTCTTCAGTTCGCGAGTTTTTTTCTCAAAAACGGTGTGAAAGCTTTATTCATACTCCATTGTTACTTTTGCCCGTTTCTCATTCATTAAGGTTGGTTTGACGTACGATGTTTTTTGTTTTCATATTTTCCATTTCAATTTGTCGATTGCTATAGAAGCTCTGCTAAGGAAGTACGCTGGAAAAGCCAAAATGAAAATCTTTTAAGTTGCTCTAGCCTGAGACCCTTTACGTTCATTATGATCTATTTTAGATATTTGAGGAAGGGCTGACTTGTTGCCAGAGTGATGAGGGGCTGACTTGGTCCTACAGTGCACAATTTCTCCCGTTTCAATAAGCTCTTAAAGTTTGATGTGTGCATTGTATATAGTATTTACTACTTCTGTAATGCTGTCTATAACGTGCCTAAAAGTTGTACTTATTTATAACTATATACTCCCTCCGTCCCGCAAAGAACTTCCCGGTTTGACGTACACACATATTAAGGAAATAAACTTATCAGGTGGTAAATTTTACTGTTTTGACACAGTTTCGACACTCTTTTGGCATTGTTTTGATGTAGATAACTTCCCATTTAGGGAAAGGGAACTTTTTGGGATTACTAAAAAAGGAAAGCGGGAAGTTCTTTGCGGGATATCTACATTCAATGCCATAATGTATATTGGATTGCCTTTACAAAGCCTAGAGAAAATGTCCATAAATCTAGGTTTAAAGCCTTGTCACCTTCCCAGTTCCCACAAGTCACAACAATGGGAAGATTAAGCTTTAATTCCATGCATTTATATTTCTTGTGCATTTATTTAATTGTTCATACTTTGGTGCTGTTATAATCTCTCAAATTCTTATTTTTATTCATTCTGAAAAAGGTGTAGCTTAATATTGAAATAGGATTGAACTCTTTTTTACTCTTTTATGGAGTGGTCTATTTGCTTATGCTGAAAGCTGATGTTTATTGTGTGCGACTTTTCTGGTAGTCATGCAAAAGTTCATTTTTTTCCCACTGTGGATGCCATTAGCCCATTACAGCATTACTAATAATACAGTAATACTTGTGTACATTTAGCTTAAACATAACTACATTCAGTTTATAATACTGAAGTGTGATAAGGTATATGAGGGATTACATGATTTACATGCATACTTTGCTGCTTACTTGTAATTTCTTCACTGCAGGTACAGATGACGATCTTCCTTCATCGCATCAAAATAGGATTCCTAGAGGTGGCCGCATTGCCATTAATGGTATATCAGCTGTCGGAGGCTCTGTCGCTTATGCAAGGCCAAATGGAGAAACTGATATGGAGAGTCTAATTCACCAGCTGGAGCAAAAGGCATACAGTTCTGTTCTAAGAGCCTTTAAAGCTCAAGCAGATGCAATTACTTGGGTACTTGATATCATTTTAACTCTGTGAATCTCTTTTTTGTATACTTGTTTGACCAGGTTGAATGATTGGTCTATGATTTATTTTTCCAGGATAAGGAAAGTTTGATAACTGAACTTAGAAAAGAGTTGAGATTGTCAAATGAAGAGCACAGGGAGCTTCTTGGCAGAGTAAATTCTGATGATGTCATCCGAAGAATAAGGTTTGCATTATTTATATTATATATATATATATATATATAAATTTTGTGAGCATGTTGTTCATGAAGTGTAGATTATGTCCACAAAGTGTGAATTTATTTAGGACCGGAGGGAGTATTTATATTTTGGCGCAACGTTTTTCAATAATTTATTTAACTAACATCTCGATTGAATTTTAAGGTGGACATAATCTAATCTTCATATGGAACATTCTCACAAAATTCCACCAGGAAGCACCTCATATGGAGGCGGCTGGACGGGGTTCCTGTGAGGAAGGCCTGACAGGAACATTACTGTTTCTCTATATATATATATATATATATATATATATATTTATCTATTCATTTATTTTCTTTATTTGTTTTTTTTTTGTAGGGAGTGGAGACAATCTGGTGGCAATCAACAAGGAATACTTAGTACAGACCCACAACCAGGCATTCATAGTACTGTCCAAGTTGTCCAACAAGCTATTCATGATCTAGCCCCCAGTCCTGTGTCCGCTTCTCGGAAGAAACAGAAAGTTGCATCATCTCTACCGTCTCAATCCTTTGGTGGACCATCACCTGGTTTTTACGCAGCAGCAGTAACTATATCTAATCAACCTTCTTCAACGGTTGCCAAGAGAGGGCCTATGATGGGGTCCAAGGGAAAAAAACAGAAACCTGTGAGTTCCAAGGACCTCCTAATCCTACATCTTTATCTTTATGTTTGATTGTTCATTTCTATAATTCTATTTACTCCTTTCTCTACAGGGTCTAGTAATGCCAGGTGCAACTAAGACACAATATCCTCCCTCTGGTCCTTCTGGAAGAGGACAATTTGGTAATAGAATTTCTAAACCAACCGAAGGAGCTTCGTTTGATCCATTAATTGGTAGGAAAGTGAGGACCAGATGGCCTGATGACAATAATTTTTATGAGGCTGTCATTACTGATTGTAATCCAGTTCAGGTATGCTTTAACATTGGTTACTTTTAAAAGCTACTTAACCGACGAAAGCAGGAACTGTGATTTGTAGCTGAAAAGGTTCATGTTTAGAAGTTAATACTTTCTGATGCTTTTTCACATTATGTTTTAGGGACTCCATGCTCTTGTTTATGACATTGGCACTGCAAATGAGACTTGGGAATGGGTGAACCTCTCAGAGGTATACACACGTATATATATTTATTGTTATTGTATATATAAACTTTTCTAGCTTCATAGCACATCCAATTTTGTTATTCTATTCATTGTAACATTTGTCTGATATTTCTAGTATTGCGCTTTCAGCCATATAGGCTGGCCTATAAATTGCCATTCAAGACAAAGCTTCTGTTGTTGGGAGCAATTCAATTTGTTTTAAATTAATCTCATAAGTATATCAACTGTACACGCATACTGCATAAAACATTTTTTTAATATGAGAAAATGTGTAGTATTTATTTTGTCTCATAAAAAATTTAGATGTACTCGTAATGTTTTTGCACTCTGATAAGCTGTTCAGGTGTCTTATGCAAGCTGTTTTAAAATTCTATAGAACTGTCTAGATTAACCAAGTTTTCTACAAAACTGTTTTAGGGAGATTCTTTAGGAATCCTGGCATGTGATATATATCCGTTGCTATATTTCCTTGTGACATAGTTTGTCTGAAAATACTGATGTGGAGTTTTGATCTGTTCTTGAATTTCCTTCCAGATTTCTCCTGAGGATATTCAATGGGACAATGATGCAGGAGACCAAGGAGTAAATAGAGCTATTGGTCGTGTTAGTGCCCCAACAGGTGTTGGCAGAGGAAGGGGGCTGACTAAAGCTCAGCCCGCAAAGGATTTTCCACCGCCACAGAACGGTGTAGCGAAGAAAGTATCAAACTATATTCAGTTACTTCACACTGATACATTAATTAAAGAGGTAGGCTGCTCAAGCATATTAATGAATACTGCTTGTGTTCATGTGTCTATCTCTCCTTTTAATGGACATTCAATGTTTTTAAAGGTTGAGAGGATATTTGGTGCCTACCATCCTGATCCTGTAGAAATTGGGAAGGTCAAAAACGTGCTGAAGGTTAGCTGTGCACCTGCTGATTCCCTGGTTTTGTTTTGCTGATGACGCCTACTTAATGATATACTAATACTAGTAGGTGATTGATGCAGGAGCATGAGCAATCACTTATAGATGCTATTTCAAGACTTGGTGATATTTCTGATGGTGAAAGTGGTATGTGATGACTCACTTAAACTGTAATTGCTTTTTTTTGTCAGTCATGATCAAAGACATGGTTGTAACTCCATTTTCCTGGAAGAGTTGTTTTTTGATTCATCATCTCAAAAGTATATACATTCCTGCTTAAAGATTGGTTTTGGGAGTTGAAAATTTGAAATTGAAGATTCAAAAATCCTTAAATATGTTGAAATAATGACCGAACTAGTACTCCCAGCTTTTAGTGGGACAAAAATAGGAGCAGTTTTTATTTTGGACGGATACATGACTAAATTTAAATGAAAAGTCTAAAATGCCCATTGCAATATTCTCACCCATCCACATTTTCTTCCCTACGTGAGCTTTCTTCTTCGTGTTAGGAGAGGGCTTCTTCGCGTCAGGCGAGGAGCACCTAACTCCACTGGTGCGACCGTGCGACAGCAGACGGCGGCTATTCACACCGGAGGAGGCGACTCCATATCGACGAAGGTGACCAGCAACAGCAGCAACAACCAATCGGCTCTTCTTCGTCCTCTTCTTTTCCGCTCCTCGATTTTCTCCATCGCCGATGTTGTAATCTCCATCAGAGGGAGGCGGCAGACGCTTATAGACTACATTATCGAAGGGTGACCGGTGTCGAGCAACGAATCAGATCTAGATTAGAATGGCGGCAACTACGGTTGGGGATGGGGAAGCGGCGATGGCTGGGGTTAGGGCGGCGGCGGATTGCGCTCGCCTTGTGGTTGCGGCTGCGGTTAACTTCTGTGGTGGGTGCGGAGGCCGTCAATTGGGGCTGTGAGTGCGGCAATTGCAGGGGACGGGTAGAGGAGGCTGGGAAAGGGGCTGGGGAGGGGGCAGGGGCGGGTTGAGGCTGGGCTGGTGGGGCTGTAATCTGTGGATGCCGGAGACGCTGGTTTGGTACGGCGATAGTCACTGGTCAGTGCGGCGTTGTTCACTGGCCAGGGCAATGTTGGTCACTGGCGAGGGCGACATTGGTCATTGGGCAGCGGCATTGGTCACTGGCGGGGGAGGCGTTTGGTCATTGGCGGGGTGGGTGTAACTGACCAGCCGACAAATGTCACTAGCGGGGTAATTGTCACCGGAGGAGGAAGCAGAGTAACTGTCACTGACGGCGGTGGGGTAACTGTCACTGGGGACGTTTGGTCACTGGGGCGTTTGGTCACTGGGACGTTTGGTCACGGTCACCGTAGTTCAGGGTATAAAAGTCGTCTTAGTCTCATTTTTAGAACGTTTTGAAAGTAGTCTCATTTTTGTCCATAACATTTATTTTAGTATTATCAGGACAAACTCCAAATATTTTGGTAGACTGGAAGTCTCCCATTAGGGGATCTCTGCCCACAAAATTGTGATACTATGATGGCTTTTATTTAGATCATTAACATGTGAAGTTATGCGGTCTCTAGTTATATCTCCCCTGCCATGGACATAACCTTATATGTTAGGTTGAAATAAAGCAATCCTGCATGCACACAAAATAGGAAGGTTTTTGGATATTAACTAGCATCTTTTATTATCGTGTATGATATATAATTTATACTCCCTCCGTCCCTATATAAAAGTATCCATTTGTTTTACACACATTTTAAGAAAGTGGGATTGATTGGTACTGTTTGACACTGTTTGACACTGTTTTGCATGACATTGTTTTGTTTGCCAAAAAAGGAAAGAGACCTTTTATTTAGGGACGGCCCGAAAAGGAAACATATACTTTTATTTAGGGACAGAGGGAGTATATCTATATGATAGTTGTATCTAAGCATTAACTGGAATGTATGTTTCTTTTACATCTGCATGAATGTAAAAGAGTGACCATAAGTAATAAGTTACTCCCTCCGTTCCATTCGAGGGTTTTCACTTTCCTTTTCGGGACGTCATAGCTAAAAGTTCTCATTTTCTGTTTTAGGAAACAATAAACTCTTTTAAAAAATAATTTAATTATCAAATATTAAAAATAATATATTTATAACATCACAATTATCATCAATAATCCATTATATTATATACCTGTCAGAACTATCTTTCAATATATAATTGAATTAACATATGTAATTATTGTCTTAATAATCATGTCATTTTGCAATGCGAACCTTTGAACGGGACGGAGGTAGCATTTTTCGGGTATTATTAATTATATTGCATATGTTGTAATCAAGAGTGACTACAAGTAATATGGCTAGCTTACATAGTAGTCAGATACCGTATTGATTTTGCAATTTTTGAACTTATGGATTTGCGTGTAACAGATGAATGCCGCCATTTCATGCACGGACATCCGATGGAGGCAGAGTGACATGTTAAAAGGCTAATAATAGGTGGTAGAAGCAGCTTGCATTATGAGAGTCATACTATTAGTCAGATGATGTTCATAATTTGTTTAAGCTTCAGAACGTAGGTTATAACATGTGGCTATGGTTGTGTTTATTCATTTTAATTTGTAAAAAGAAAAAAGCATCATCATAGATTTTAACTTGTTAGTTGTTACCATGCATGTACAGTCTTTTTGTTGTTGGCAATTAATTTTTTAATGCATTAGTCGTTTACTTTCATCTTTTTGGGTGATAATTCAAAACAACAATTTTGTGTTAGAAAGTGGGGGCAAACCGGCAAAGTGGCAGACCATTAAAACTTAAGGAAATTGTCCTAAATAACAGTAATTTATTGACAAGTTTTGGTTGTACCATATTTTAAAGGAAAAGTAGATTGTAATAATCTCAAGTCTCAACTATTGGCGTTCCGTTCATAATAATTTCAACTAGGGATGGACCGGTTCACCTTTTGAAGGGCCCGAGCTCGAACCGGCCAACCAACCGGTTCACCGGGCTGGTCCGGGCCCGCACAGTAGCGGATCGGTCCGGTTTCGGGCCGGGTCCACCCTAATTCCAACTATCGATTATTTCAGAATAATCCTAACTTTAGGGACCTTCCGTCAATAATGATCCGACGTGACTGACTATAAATAAATTTCTATAGTTTCTAAAGGGTTATAGCAGGTAATCCCTATAAATAATCCCAAATTTAATTTTTACGCTTAATTTCTATTAAAAATTCACTTGTTAGAGCAGGTAATATGCGGTCATGGACCATTATTGCCGGATGGTCCATATAGTTGGGATTATTAAAAAATAATCAATAGTTGGGATTATTGTTAGCGGACCGGCAATAATTGGGATTATTATTTTCAATTTTTCCTATTTTAAATATGACAATACTTTTCAAGTATGACACTTGGCAAGTTGGTAGTAATTACTCTTATTTATAAAATAAAAACATGAGAATTCTATATTGGAAATCTTCTGAATGCGAAAAAACCTTGTGAATGAGCGTGCCACACTTGTGTATTTACTTCAATGAAGATGTTAACTTGGATCCTTGTTTAGAGGGTTTTGGCACATTAAACCCAAAAAACAAAGATGGGATCCAATCTTATTCTTTCCTACTTTGGACTAGTCACAATCAAGGTGGATCACTTTTGAGTATCTGTTCATGACTGAGATAAAAATCAAATAATTCGATTTCTAACTCGAAAAGTCATGCTTGGATATGATATTTGGATTGGATTGAGTCTACCCAATCTTCTTTGTCATCACATCCATTCCTCTTTTTATGAGGTTTCACAACGTTTCTTCTTGACAAACTATACTCTACAAAATATTACTAAAGCGTTTGAATGTAGTCATGTAGATAGTCTATCTTTAGATGTACTGCATCGTATGTATTTTTGATTTCACATGTTTGTTAATTGTTTTATAATAACAAGATTTAAAAAGTTGAAAGGATGTAAGCTCATCTAGGAGAACATCAAAAGAATCTCAAATAGTATATATTAGAGAACCAATAGTCACACTAATTGAAAGTTAAATTCTTCTTATAATTAATTTTGTCTTGTTCATCTATTCGTCTAGCTAAATCTCAATGAAAATATTTTAGTATTTTACTACCCACTTGGGCTCATATAATAACTGCCTTAGCAACATATTATTATATATGGCTACCTTGATGTACCACCTATGTTTAAAAGTTTTTAGTAAAACTAATTTAACTTAAACTCACCAAATTTTCTAAAATTTGTTTCACAGCCTCACATGTGAGGTTTTCATATGTTTTTTGAGCTAAAACTAAGCTCATGGAAAAACATAATTTTGTTGTTGAAAAGGGTGCTTGATAAAAAACCAAGCATTCCAGCTCAGCCGGTTGCGAGATTACCGTGCCTAGTGAGAGGCCTCGAGTTCGAAACCCACTAGGCACATAAGAGTTTGAAACTCAATGGAATGAGTTTCAGCCCTGATTACTCCAGGCCCCCTCCCCCAGACCCCCCTGGATTAAAAAAAATGCTTGATAATAACTTGTATTGCTTTGTGAAAACTTGTAGATGTACCAAAAACAATGCGCTCATAATTTTTTCAATGAATCATTGTAACAAAAGAAGTAATGCAGGGAAAAAGCCCGATCTCTCATTACGTTGTTTGCTTAATAAATAGGCATGGGTTTCCAAGTTACATTCCAACTTGAAAACTCCTGTTGTCATATACAAATCAGACTCTTCTTCTAATTGACTAGCTGGAAGCATCCGTAAATAAAGCAACAATAATATTAAAATAATAACAAATAATAATAGCCTTCAACACCCCCCTCAAGTTGCAGCTTGAGGATTACAAATGCCCAACTTGCGAAGTAGAAAATGAAAAGGAGTTTTGCTCAACGCCTTAATGAAGATATCAACGAGTTGCAAAGTAGTAGGAACATAAGAGGGAGCAATAACGCCATCCTGAATAGCGTCCCGTACAAAATAACAATCCATCTCAATGTGTTTAGTGCGTTCATATCAAAAAATTTAACATCACGGGAGACAAAGATATCATAAGTCTCCAAGTCAAAGAGGCGCCATCCTTTCTTACCAAATGGATATCCCAAAAAAAAAACACTTACGGCTTCAAGAAGAGAACTTGTCACCTTTAGTACGCAGATTGTATGCATAACACAAACAACCAAATACTCATATCTTGGAAAGAGCAGGTTTACGAGCATACAATATTTCATAGGGTGTCTTACCATGCAACATCGTAGAAGGAGTGCGATTAATGAGATAACCCGCTGTTAGCACACATTCACCCCAAAATCTAAGTGGTAAACTTCCTTGAAAACGTAAAGCACGTGCCACATTCAAAATGTGACGGTGTTTGCGTTCAACACACCCATTTTGTTGAGGAGTACCCACACAAGAGGTTTCAAAAATAATACCTTCGATATCAAAATATTTCTTCAGGCAATTGAATTATGTACCGTTATCACTACGGACACGCCTTATGTTGGAAAAATTGAGAGTATTTCAAATGAATAAAGTTTTTTTTCGTTTTAAATGTTTTGTTCACTTTTTAATTTAATTAGACTTTACAAATAAAACTTTTGCACATGCATTTATTCTATTCCTTTTGGTTAGCATTTTAATCTTAATCAATTTTCCAAATTAATGATGGTACGTTACATTTTTTGATCATTTGTTGAATATTAATTAACATTGCATTAATGAACAAATTCAATTGAGCTTATGTCAAAACCGTTTTGTGAGCTCTAGCTTTTACTACATATTATTAAGTTGCCTTGGCTAGCATATTATATATATGCATGTGTGCGTGGAGAAAAAGCGGTGTTTTTTAGCGTTCAGATTTCAATCGTTTTTGCTCTTAAGGAAAATATTACTCTTCGTACTTAGTAGTCGGACAAAAATTACTTTTGAGTTGAACATCCCCTAATATATATGTTACAACTCTGCTGGATTAATTTTATTTTAATCTCGTCGTTCTGTTACCGGCATAAGCCGAAGAGCTCGTTTTATCTTGGGGAAAGATTTTCGCTAGTCGGAAATACTTTCTTGAGGACAGCGTTTACGCGACTCGAGCTATATTATTTTCTAACGCTTTTTGCAGGTTTATCCGACCACTTTCCTACAACAATCTCAAGAAAGTATTTGACGTTGGATATGCCTGCACATATGATCTCATAAGGTGTTGCCGCCGCACTCATCGGGGCTATGTTATCTCTACTTGTGCGTTGCGAAGTAGGCTGTGATACACCCGCATGGGGAGACGTATTAATCTGATAAACACTCACAAAAGTCTTCTACGTATAATGGTTAGTCTCTCCACTTTTCTACTTACAATAAGTCATACTTTAACTCCACTTTTTTAAGAAAAAAGTTATTCATTTATTTAGTGATAAAAAGACAACTATGGAAAACAACAACCCACTAAAATCAAGTTTAAACTTGGTTTGTAGTGATGATAATTTTATTGCGGTTGTTTTTCAAAGTTGTAAAAATAATGATGTGAATGAGTGGGCGGTAGACTCCGGGGCTACCAAGCATATTTGCAAAAACAAAAATGCTATTACCTCCTATACTACGGAGTATTATAGAAGATGGTGAAAGGCTCGTGTACCTGACGGACTCTAAAACCGTTAAGGTGCATGGAAAAGGAAAGTTTTCCTGAAGCTCACATCGGGGAAAACTTTATCACTAAATGATGTGCTTCATGTGCACAACATTCGGACTAATTTAGTTTCCGTTTCTCTCTTGGGAAAAGTTAATTGGGGTTAAAGTTTCTTTTGGTTGTGACAATTTTGTTATGACAAAAAAAAATGATGTTCTCGTGAGAAATGGCTATTGTAAGAATGGACTTTTTATGCTTAGCATTTTTGAAAGTCGCATGATGATGCTTCTGCGTACTAACGGTTGGTTAATTATTGTGTTATGTGATATAATAGATTTGATGTTTTACATGGCATTTTAAGTTGATCTTTATTTTTGTTTGTTATATGAAACTCCTAAATATCCTAAGAGTGATACAGAAGCACCTCTAGAAAATTGTGATACAATTGATGAATTTATATAAATTTTATTAGAGCATCTACACTGTGGTTAGAGGTGGTAAAAGTTCATTGTCACATTTATTGGTGATTTTTCGAGATAAACTAAATTTTATCTTATTTAAATATAAAAGGAGAGTTTTTGATAAATTCAATGTGTACAAATAAAGGTTGAGATATAAATTATCTCTCTATGAATTCTAGAAGGGCTATGCACCTATTTTTAAATATTTAAAATTGTGGGGGTGCTTAGCTATATTCTTATTCCTATCTCATTGAGTGAAAATGAGCTTTATAACTCTTGGCTGTTTTTGCATAAATTGAAATAATGGAGCATATATATTATTTTCATAAATGAAAGAAATAGTGTGCTAATGTGCAATGTTTTATGATATATTATTGAAGTTATTAATGTGACCGTTTTTGGAGAATGTGTACACACTAAATGATGCATGTGTGATTATTTTTTATACGCCGATGAAACAAAAATGCTGAATTTTTTTTTGAGAATGTGTTTCCTTTGAAAATTGAACACAAGACCATTCAACCCTCTAGTGATAGTAATCCATTAAAAGAAAATTAATCTTTTAATGATGAAAATTTTGAATTATTCACAAACTTTTTATTCATCAAAGGGATATTAGAATTGCATTTTTAAATGGTGAACTAGAGGAAGAAGAAATTTATATGGTGCAACCGGAAGGTCATGTGGTTAGTGGTCAGGAAAACACAGTGTGTATACACTAAATGTAAAAATGGTGTGTGCATTATAATTTGCTTGTATGTGGATCATATGTTAATTTTTAGTGTGGAAGACTTGGGGGTAACAAAAATGATTTTGGGTATATATGAAAGTCACAAGGAAGGATATGATGTTATACTATCTCAAGAGCATTATGCTGATAGACTTCTAAAGAGGTTTGGACATTTTAATGTCACACCCGTGGGTATCCCTTATGAATTTCATATGCACTCAAAAAAAAATGAGGTGATCGTGAGGCTCAATATGAGTATTCCCAAATTATTGGATGCTTATTATATTTTATAAATTTTACTAGGTCCGACATAGTTTGTGTTGTCGGAAGATTGAGCCGATATACTCATGACCCAAGTAGGGATCATTGAATTGCGTTAAGGCGATTATTGATATATTTGTGAGGTACCATTATTTATGGTATTTTTTATTGAGATTATCCGTTGTAATATATTGATACAACGATGATATGTTTTATTGAGAAATATCCATTGTTCTAGAGCGGTACAATGATGTTATATGAAAATTATCCATTGTACTATAATGATACAATGATGGTATATATTTTATTGAGAATTATCCGATGTACTAGAGGGTCACATCGATGTTATATTTTATTGAGAATTATCCTTTGTATTGCCGGGATACAACGACGACATCTGAGTATACTCACATGAGATAAATTAAAATAGTGGATATCCATTCACCCTTAAAAGGGGTGCAATGATGTTTGAGAATGGAATTATTTCCATTAATTTTATGAAGTCAGAAGGAATTAGCTACTCCTTTGACAGAATCCCTAGGACGAAAAATGATAACCGAAACATCGAAGGAAATGGGACTAGTGTCACTTTGAAACGAATGGGGATGGGAACCCAACTTGTGTGATTGGAGATCCCATGAAGCAAGTTCAAATGGGTAATAACAAGTCTTCCATTTAGTTCTGCTAGCCTAACTAAAATTCCTCATTTCCATGATGTGAGATATATGCTAGAAACCGCATTCTTTGAGAGGGTGAGCTAAAAGCTCTTAATGATTATCATAGCCCTTAATTTTATGGTGGTGTGAAAAAGCGGTACACACTTGATGATATCACCTATATGAGTGTGAGGTAGGGCCGCCTCTATGAAGCATGACAAAACTTCTAGAGCACTCATGAACACCAAGCACGCGCATGGCCTTACGGCGCACAACGGCGTAATAACGAGAAATTGTGCAGGATGAGACACGACCGTTAAGACCCTGATTTACCAATAGTAGCTTGTTGGTTCAAGAAACTATATGTTTCACCAAAAGCTCGATTTATTAAGACTTAATCGTCTCGGTTTGGTTCATAGTCTACGGACACCAAACTTAAAGTCTCATTCCTTTAATCCAGCAGAAATTTTCTAAACTATTTTCAAAACATTCATTTGAAATATGTGGGGGATTGTTGGAAAAATTGAGAGTATTTCAAATGAATAAAGTTTTTTTTCGTTTTAAATGTTTTGTTCACTTTTTAATTTAATTAGACTTTACAAATAAAACTTTTGCACATGCATTTATTCTATTCCTTTTGGTTAGCATTTTAATCTTAATCAATTTTCCAAATTAATGATGGTACGTTACATTTTTTGATCATTTGTTGAATATTAATTAACATTGCATTAATGAACAAATTCAATTGAGCTTATGTCAAAACCGTTTTGTGAGCTCTAGCTTTTACTACATATTATTAAGTTGCCTTGGCTAGCATATTATATATATGCATGTGTGCGTGGAGAAAAAGCGGTGTTTTTTAGCGTTCAGATTTCAATCGTTTTTGCTCTTAAGGAAAATATTACTCTTCGTACTTAGTAGTCGGACAAAAATTACTTTTGAGTTGAACATCCCCTAATATATATGTTACAACTCTGCTGGATTAATTTTATTTTAATCTCGTTGTTCTGTTACCGGCATAAGCCGAAGAGCTCGTTTTATCTTGGGGAAAGATTTTCGCTAGTCGGAAATACTTTCTTGAGGACAGCGTTTACGCGACTCGAGCTATATTATTTTCTAACGCTTTTTGCAGGTTTATCCGACCACTTTCCTACAACACCTTATTGATTGCGAAAATTGACATATCACCATAGCTAGAAAAGACATGAATCGGGAGTATACTTCAGTTTTGTCAATCAATAAGTATATCCAAACAGCACGTGAACAATCATCAACAATGGTAATAAAGCTTTTTGCACCACAAGTAGAAGAAGTTTGATAAGGACCCCATAGGTCCATATGAATTAAATTAAAAATCCTACTAGATATATTATTGCTCAAAGGAAACATTTCATGGGCCTGTTTGGCCTGAAAACAAACATCAGATGGAGAACTAACATTATTAGGTAGAGAAGACATCAATTTAAGAACATTCCTAGAAGGATGCCCCAGTCTCTTATGCCAAGTATCAGCCGAAACTTTCACTTCATTAACCACCACACACTGTTTAGGAATATCCCAGAAATAATATAGCACATCTCTTCTTTCACCCATCCCAATCAACTTCCTCGAGCATTGGTCCTGTATCACACACATAATAGTAATGAATTGAACAACACAATGAAGTTCTTTCGTCAATTGAGATATAGATATGAGATTACATCTCAATTGAGGCACGTAAAGAACATGTTCTAAAATAAAAGTATTTGACAAAGTAACTTGTCCCTCCTTTGTTGTTGTTACTTTATGTCTATTAGGCAATCGGACTAGGCATTCATTTATACTATGAATATTAGTCATACGTTCAATATTCCCAGTAACATGATTTGTTGCACCTGTATCCAATATCCACAAAGAAATATCAAACTTACCAATCATACGATCAGAAATAGTTGACTGCTTGTTACCAAACATTGCCGTAAGTGCTTGCCACCGGTCACCAGTAAACCCTGGGAGCGGAAAAGAAGATGCCAAGCCTGAACTTTCACTCCGTTCCTCATGTATCTGTCTGGTAGTTTCATTGGCAGCATCATGGGCTTTTACAACAGTCGTTCCACGCACCGTTCCGCCTTAACCGCGTCCCACCGCTTTGCTATTTCCTCTCGGACGATCTCCCCACCAATCGGGATACCCGATTAACTGGAAACACCTTGTAATGTCGTGTCCTGGAAAATTACAGTGAGCAAATTAATCCAGGTTTTTCTACCTTCCCAGCTTTATTATTATTAGCACGTTTAGGTGCTTGTGCAGCAAAACCCATAACTTCATTTGCGTCCTCCTTGTGTTGAGTAAATCCCCGAATTCATTCTTCTTGCGTAACCTGATGATATGCTCTATTCAGATTAGGCAGAGGAACCTGAGACAATAGATTGGACCTTATTTGACCATATAAGTCGGTTGAAAAGCCCATCAAAAACTGGTGAAAGCGCTCAGACTCCCATCTCTGTGCATGTTGTTCGCCAAGTTTACACGTACATTTCCCGCATGTACACGTTAGTAGCGGTTCGTAATTGTTGAGCTCGTCCCACCACATCTTCAATTGTCCATAATAGGTTCCTACAGACAACGGAGAAGATTGTTCACAACGCGCAATATTCACCTTGAGTTGATGAATACGTGATCCATCCATAACAGAAAAGCGCTCTTTAAGCTCGTCCCAAAGCAGCTTAGCGTCCTCGTATTTTGAAAGGGTATTCTTGACTTCCGGTGCAATCGTGTTCATCAACCATGACACGAGCATAGAATGGATCGTCAACCAATCATCCTCCGTACATTTATTTTCGTACGTTTGTATTGTTCCGTCCACGAACACGAATTTACGTCGAGCCCGCAATGCCAATCTTATTGCTCCTGTCCAGTCATCATAATTTTCACCACGAAGACGTATCGGAGTAATATAATCTCTTGGCCGGTCTTGTGGTCCGAGGAAGAAAGGAGAAGAATAATCATTTTTTATTGAGGAATTGCTAGTATCATCGTTTTTGCCCTGACTGTCTTCTTTATCGTTTGCCATCAGATCGTGATGGCGTGTCGCTCACCCGAGCGGACTGATCTGATACCATGTAACAAAAGAAAAGTAATGCATGAAAAAGCCTGATCTCTCATTAAGTTGTTTGCTTAATAAATAGGCATGAGTTTCCAAGTTACATTCCAACTTGAAAACTCCTGTTGCCGTATACAAATCAGACTCTTCTTTTAATTGACTAGCTGGAAGCATTCGTAAATAAAGCAACAATAATATTAAAATAATAACAAATAATAATAGCCTTCAACAATCATTGAGTCCATAAACACACTTAAAAAAAAGCACATCCAAAGTCGAAACAGCTTAGAGCATCTCCAATGCTACAATGTGCACGGTGCACATGTGGCATGAGAGAGATAGACACAAATGATTAAATTTTCGACGTTTCTCTCTCCTTCTTTCCACAGTCGTATATGTTTTTGGTAAGTTTTTTCTCCACAATGTAAAGCACAATGTCTAGATGTAAACATTGTGGTTGAAATTGTTAAGAAAAACTTAAAAAAACGTATAAGACCGTGGAAAGAATGAGATATTATATTTGTTATTTTTTAATCGGCTAATTCTGGTGTCCCATTTATGCTCTGCCTTCCCATATCTGATTGAAAAACAAGAGTTTGGGAGAACTCTTCCAAGCCCATCACTATGATATGCGTCGGTGGAGTTCCTTTCCCTACCGGTTCCGATGATTCGTCTTCCTCTCAGGTAGTTATTATATTGTTAATGTTCCTCTAAGATTCCAACAGAAAAGGTCAAGTAATTATAGTGTAATGGTAAAATCGATCAAGTGATGATGTGAGTTAGAGTGCGTTGCATTTTGGAAGCATAATTTTATGGCCTCTATAGTTCTTAAAGAAATGATTATTGATGATGATGAATTTGTAAATGCTGTTGAATGTATATTTTTAGTATGTATATGTTATGCATCCACATTAGCTCTGAAAATAATTTCTTGTAGTTGCTGCGAACTGATATTTTTGTTGGGAAAAAGGAGGTTACGTCTACCAGAAACGAAAGAATGAAAGCAGCATACTTCCAGTGAAATAGTGCTACATTGTCTCTTTGCGTATTGCATGTGGTGTTTATTTTCTACCAGTTGTCTTGGTTACAAAGAAGTTAGTCTTTCAATTATAATTAGATTTTAGTGTTGTGTTTGCATTAGAAGACTTTGTACTCTCTTTTGAATGGGAAGATTTATGGCTTTAATACACAAGTAGTAAATTTTTGTTTGTTCTTTGGTTGCCTGTGGTGCCCTCGTAGTTCGCCGTTTAACATATTTCCTTTTTGTTACTCTGAGCAGGGAGAAGACATCATGATGGCCTTAATGAATCATCCTGCTTTGATGGCTACATCTTTTTCATTAGGTGCCATTGAGGAGAGAATGTTTTCTCTTTCCAATACTTGTCATTTGGTGGGAACAAAACAAATAAGATGGGTCTATATTTTCCAAAGAGAATATGCTACCATCAGCCCTTCACTTGTTGATGTGTGTTTAATTTTTCTCTCTTTATCTAGTACCAGTAACTCTACTTTGACGGAATGGATTACTGTTGATCCCATCTGCTCATTTTTCATTATTAAATTTAATCTAAAATCCACCTTTTATATTGCTTCAAATGTTTTTGTTTGCATGGCTCTTCTTGTTATGGTATTGCATGTCACCGTCCTTTTCTCAGTTTCAGCCATCTTTTCTTTAGGTTATTTATTATATGTCAAATGTAACCATGCATTGCTGAATAGCACTTCAATATAATAATCATTTCTGTAGCATTTTAACCCTTACATTAATTCTCTGATCTAGTCATATAAGGATCTTATTGTTCTCAATCTTTAATTATTTAGTGTGTACATATCAAGAATACCAATAAAAAAGCAAGTCAATTAAGTATTCCTGAAACGCAACTGCTTTTTATGTTTTGGTCAAACTTTTATGCACTTAATTTATGTTTGCTCATGTATGTTTCGAAGTTTCTAGTCAGATTCTTTATTGTTCTCTTTCCTCACTGCCTAATTTTTCCTCCCTGCCTTATGTTTTCTTGTTGTCATGAAAAAGATGGTTGGCACTGATGAGGCGACGACCTGTGTAGGTCTTATCATACGAAATCCTAAAAGTGGAATGTAAGGATCCTATTCACTCTAGGTTGGAGTTTCATGAAACTGTATGAACTTGGTAGCAAGGAAGCTCCAAAATGTCCAAAATGTCCAACTGTTCTACTGTCGGGCACACACTACACTTTAGAACCATGGCTGCGCCTGCGTTTGTGGTTCCTAGGTCTGAATTAAACGCCTCCAAGGCTCCAACTATGATATATTTGTGTTTTGAATGCAGGATCTCTGTTGCCCATATTGATTCTCCAGGTGTTGTTGATATTGGCCTAACCCAAATGTTATCCTCCATTGTTGATAAGGATGATGCCATTTTGGATGTAACTTGTCTTCCTTTTTTTGCCTCTATGTTGAGATGTGCTTTTAGTAAGCTTTGGAAATTTACACATAACTTTCTAACTTCACAAGTATGATATGCAGGTACATTTAATTGGTGGTTTTAATGATGTCACACATGAAGTCAGGGTCAACTCTTTCTCTTTTGCCTTGCACTTTGCATTAATGTAGTTACGAACTTAGAAGCAACTCTGTAATGTTGATTCTTTATTTGTTGGGCTTTTTGTGCAGCATGAAAATGATGTATCACACGATAATGCAAAGTGGGAGGGATATTCCTTCCCCATTTGTTCGAAGATAGTTGACACCATGGGGAAGAGTACCAATATTTTCAACATTAAAACGCTGCATGTTCTTGATCATAACACCACAAAGGATTCAAAAGGGAATGCATGCCCGATCTTCAATGGTTTCCTGGTAACTTGAATGTGTAGGGGTGGTGATATTTGCTAGTTTCACTCTCAGCGTTGCTCTACTCATGTCTTTGTTAGGTGGAAACTGCCACCGGGTCAATATTTCCAGCAACCTTTGATGGAACAACAAGATGCCCAGATGAACTCGTTAGGAGAATCCGAGTGACTTCTTCGTTTGAGGACCTCAGTTGGAAGGATAGATTGCTGGAGACATATGACACACTGTCGGACCGATTCATTATTTCTCCTTGCACATGGTAAACTTCAACCTTGAATAAATGGTTAAAAAAATGCAATAAATCTAGCCTAGTTATTCAGGGAGAAAGCCATATATGATACTCCCTCCCTCTGTCCCGCTAAGATCGTCTCATTTTACCTTTTCGGGAAGTCCCACTAAGATTGTCCCATACCAAATTTGGTAAAGATTGTGTGGCTCTAAATCATTCTTACTTTATTCTCACTTTAGCAATTTAATATCAACCACACAAACCCACTTTTCTTAATAATCGTGCCACCTTCTCTTGTCCCAATCTTAGTGGGACGGAGGTAGTATTTGTGATGGACATATATGTTGCTATATCTTTTATTGTGTTTACTCATTTCCATTGCCAAGGTCCGCCCATCAAAAACAGATTGCCATATATGATACTCCCTCCCTCCATCCCGCTAAGTTTGTCTCATTTTACCTTTTCGGGAAGTCCCACTAAGATTGTCCCATACCAAAGTTGGTAAAGATTGTGTGGGTCTAAATCATTCTTACTTTATTCTCACTTTAGCAATTTAATATCAACCACACAAACCCACTTTTCTTAATAATTGTGCCACCTTCTTTTGTCCCAATCTTAGTGGGACGGAGGTAGTATTTGTGATGGACATATCTGTTGCTATATCTTTTATTGTGTTTACTCATTTCCATTGCCAAGGTCCGCCCATCAAAAACAGATTGCTCTAGGTCTGCAAAATCTATGTGATCCAGAAATCCTTCGTATCTGTTCCACCTCACCTTCTGCTGAGCCTCCTCATTTTGTGGATGATCTAAGAAGGTAAACATGCCTATGTTTTCATATGTAGTGCTGCATTAGCTGTGTAGCGGTTTTCGTGTTCTTATTCGTAGGAAAGGAAGGAAAATGGTGTATATTGCTATATTATTTTAGGAACAGTTTTTTAGGGATTAAGTTTCATAAAAAAGAACTCTGATTTCTTGGTCACCCAAAATGTCCAAGATGGGGGTATGTATGGTGTATGTTGTTTGCTGATGCGAGTTGTCTAGTAGATTAATATATAAAAATTGATCAAAATAGGATCAATACGTAGTCAAAATTCTAAATTAGGACGAAGTATGTTTTCTTCCTAAAATAGGATTTATTTAATCCTACTAAAAGGAAAAAAATGATTAAACTTCCTTAAGTTGGTGTGCACAAGTCCATTTTTTAGAAGAGAACAATGCAACTCGTATTTGAGAACTTTTGAAATGTTTTACTCCTATTTAGGGAATTTTGTCATTAATATAAGGAAAGGTGATTGCTAAGCTAAAAATAGGAAGACAGGAGTTACATACAATGGGACAGTTGCCATGTAACATTAGCATCTCAGTATTGTTATTTAGGGGGTGTTTGTGTTAGCTTGTACTTCGACAAGATTTATTTTAGAGATTATATGAGAAGTGATTAATAGTGAAATCGGGTAGTGTTCGAAAAAAAGTGATTTTGAAAACGTAAAAGTTAGTGTTTGGTGGAAAAGTGTTTTTTTGTGTAATATAGAAAGTGAAAAGCAGTTCAAACTTAAAAGCATCCTTCCCCTTACTTTTAGCTTTTGGCTTTAAACTGTTTAAGTTTGAGTAATAGCACCCATTTGAAAACACACTTTTCAGCTTTTTTTAGAAAAAAGCTGTGAAGTGCTTTTCTAAGCAATAGCAAACACTCCCTTGTTGGTATTGTGCGATTAAGTTTCATTATTTTTATCTACTACGCAATGTATTGCTATCTTGTTTTGGACTGGTTATTTATCAGTGCTATGATGCATTAACACTTAATAAGAACGAGCTTTAAACTGGCTGTCTCAGGCAATGGGAGTATTTAATCAAACACCCGGATTGGCGAGAAACGTTTCCTGGTAAACGTCCCAGAATATTTGTGAGAACAGCTAATGGGGGTTGGGACAGGCTCCTCTTGGACTAAACTATTGCATCTGGGCTGCGAAATATGCAAGCATTCATTCCATGCCATTGTAGAATCAGATTTATTGCCCAATGCTGGCGTAAATTTCCCCCGATCTAATATTACCACTTCAATTGCCATGGTCCATGGAAGGTGAACATAATGCATAATAACTTGTGCACAACGAAAATGTTAAGGACGATAGTAATAACATCTAAATCACTATGGTGAAAAATATGCGTCTTTTAGTTGGTATAATGTCAATTCCCCCTTCTTATTATAGATAGAATAATAGATAATCTACCTGGACATATGAAGATGGGGTATCCCAGTTTGAGCTACACCCATCCCATGTCCATATGAATACAAGATTATACAGTGTGTTTGGTCATGGAGTTTCAATTTTAGCTGGATTGCGTCGAGAATTTTGAGCAAAATGTATTGTACACCCTAGTACAGTTTTCCAGTTCGGATCTTTTTGTGATTCTTGGAATTGCTCTTTTTACACATGAAGACTGCTTATTTAGCATATTTAATCGTGGTCGCATTTTTAATTATTTTCATTCTATATAATGTTAAAATAGAATATCAGAAACACTCATTGTGATTTGTGCACAAGGAAGAATGCTCGGTACTTTCCCAACTTTTGAGTTTTCCCTATGGCAATTAATCTTTGTGACAATGGATACAAGTGTAATTTCAAAGCTCAAAACGGTCCTTGATTGTTGAGTGTAGTTGCAACTTGGAAATGCCAATTTGCTCTTATAATTGCGACTTTTGAGTCTTATCCACACAGGCCTGAGTTTCGCCTTAAATTTGAGGTCACTTAAGTTAAAACAACGTCAAAACAGGAAGGTTGGAAACTTGGAATTGTAATTTCATAATGTCAAATGTCATGTTTTCTTGCATTTAGATTGTACACCAAAATTGCCTCTAACAAACTCAATTGTTCTTTAAAAGTACTGTAATTCTTTTACTTTGGATGAAAATCAAGCAACCATCCATCCGGCTAATCGATGAACACAATTTTTTTTGAGACATTGCTCTCAAACTAAAAAGCATTTGGATAAAAATAAGAAAGTAAAATACGTTTAAAAATCACTCATGCAAACCCCTCTTAGGCTATGTTAGCATTTGCTTATTAAAATCACTTTTAGCTTTCTGGTTAAAAAAAGTCAAGAGAAGTGTTTGTAAACACCAAATTCTACTTAATTTTAAGTGCTTTATGTTAAAAGCCGGTAGGAGAAAGTCAGGTGCTTTTAAATGTTTTTTGGTTATTTTCTAAATAGCTTGAAGATTGAGGATAGTTTGACTGACAAGCTCTTCTTTTCGTCCCTGCCTTCTCTCTCGGGTCTCTCAAGCAAAACATTAGCTAAATTACTAAATTGGTAAACAAAAAAGGCAGTTTACCAAATTGGTAAAAAAAAACCTCCAGAGACAAATTGGTAAATAAAAGCCCCATAGACAAATTGGTAAAAAAATTGCTTATTAAAATCACTTTTCTGCTTTCTGGTTAAAAAAAAAGTCAAGAAAAATGTTTGTAAAGACCAAATTCTACTTAATTTTAAGTGCTTTATGGTTAAAAGCCAGAAGGAGAAAGTTAGGTTCTTTTAAATGCTTTTTGGTTATTTTGTAAATAGCTCGAAGTTTGAGGATAGTTTGACTGGCTCGCTCTTCTCTTCGTCCCTACCTTCTCTATCGAGCAAAACATCAGTCAAATTACCAAATACTTAAACAAAAAATACAGTTTACCAAATTGGTAAACAAAAAAAACTCCACACAAATTGATAAAAACAAAAAACAAAGCCCCAAAAACAAATTCGTCAAATATTTGTGAGTGAGACATTTTTAGTCCGTGACTTTAGAAGTCCCGTCGTTTAGTCCCTTAAATAATGTGAAATTGACAATTCTAATTTTTCTACCGTGATTTTATCATGAAGTGGAAGACTAAAAATGTTAACGAGAGTGTTTGACAATAAGCGGTTGACTGCTAGCTGATAGGCAATTGAATTAGCATATTGATACTAACAGATTTCGCTAGTTGTTTTAACCAACCGCTTTCATTAACGGTGTCAAGTAAAATATTTAGTAACTCAGATATTTGTGATTAGTTGCTAAGACATAAAACGACTATTAAGAATGTGAATTTAAAAGTATATATGTTTAACTTAATTTTATATCTGTTGTTTCTAAATAAGTTTTGGGAAAAGTTTTAAAAATTATATTACTTCTATTTTTTTATAACTACTACCACTATCATTCATTTATAACACATACTTCTATTTTTTTATAACTACTACCACTATCATTCATTTTTAACACATGTCCGCGCTTACATGAGCACACACATATAAATTCATTTATTTTTAGTATTAATATTTAAAAAAAATACTATTTTGTTTTTGTTTTTTTAAATGCTATGCCATATAAAATAGAAAAAATATTCACATTGATAAAATAGTAAAAATAATCATAGTAATTTTATGGAATATAATTTTTTAAACACTAGTAAAATTGTTAGTTTACATAATACTTAAAATTGACCAATTTGATAATTTGGCCGCGAAACATCTAACCAAAATGGACACTCCTTTTAGTCTCACGAGTTTTATTAATGGAAGCTGGCTGTCTATGTTACGAAACAAAGCCATTATTTGAGATATAATTTAGCTCATGAAGAAAGACATGAAGTAGCTAGCTCACACGGAATTGCAGAAACTGTTGCGAAATTGATGAAAGGAGAAAAATGGATTCTGAGAAGGACAACAGAAATGAGCGGTGCCAGCAAGCTTTCAGGGATGAAAGAAGTGCCTCACCCTCGCGCTGCAAATTTGATTTTCATTTCTCATATCATTAGTCATTAGAGATGGTGAAGCACATATGGAAGGGTATACTTTAATAAAACACTACATTAAAAATCACTTTTCTTACCAAACTTTACCTTTTCCCAATAATCACTTTTACTATAAATCACTTTTCTAATTATCTCTTAAATAAAACACTTTAAAGAAGCACAACTATTAGCAAACATAGCCTTACAAGTTTGTGATTGCCCAAATTGGCTGCATAGAGTGATACTTGATAACTGCATGACCAGTTAAATTATTATACAAAATATTTAATCATACACATGCCCCAAAAGCTCAGGCAACCTCTTCAGCAACCCTCGACTGGAGTCCTAGCGGGAGGCATCCGCACAGCGGATAGGGGCAACCGGATGTTAGGAAGCCAACAAATCGTACCCCACAATACCTTAACTGAGTGAGAACAAGGGAAAGCAGCACGTCATTCCATTCTGAAATAATTTAATCCTTGTGAGTTAAATATGTTGTACGACAGTACTAGTAAGTAGTAATCCTATTATAACTTCAGAAATAAACATTAACATTTTGTTTCATAACATTAGTTTTCCTCAACACTTCTTTTCTTGCAAATTTCTCATACAATTCCCTCCAAATTTTCTTTATTTAGCAGTTTGTGAGTTCCAAAAAGACCCTAGGATGATGAAAGTTTTCATTTTAATGATACTAGGAAAGTCAGAGAAGTCTGATAGGAATCAAGTCAAGCCTATTCTATAGAAATAAATAGACTAGTTGGTTAATAGTTTATAGCTAATAGTTGTTATTAGCTATAAATAGAATAAGTTTGGGAGAGGTCAATGAGGCTGTTAGAGAGTTGTATCTGGGACTGGGAAGATTGAGACTTATCATCTCTTTCTTTGGGCTTCGTTGTATTGGTTTCCACCATTAATGAAGTTGGATCTTGTTTCTTGAATTCTACTCTTTCTTTTCTGTAAATTCTATACACCTGCGAATACTCTTATCAGTGGTATCAGAGCACGCCACTTTCTGGAGGAGAATCTGAGTCATCAATTATTCCAGAACATCCATAACCTGGAGCGATGGGAGAATTCCATATGACACTGCCAATGGAAGAGAGATTTGAAAATCTGAATCGACAAGCGAAGGAGACGAACGCTAGGTTGGAAAGAACTTTACGTGACTGTGAGCGTCTAAATCAGCGCTTGCACCGAACGAGGAACACCAGGCATCATCTGCGATCTGACAAACAGAGTTCATCGCAGTCGCTCTCTAGTTCGCAATCGGAGTCGCGAACTGCTTCTCATAGATCAAAATCGCGAAAGGCTTCGCGCGGAAAAATGGTGAAGCACGCGATAGAGGTTGAGCGCGGAAAAGTGGAGAAAGAAAAGCGCTCAAACCTGGAGAAGGAGAAGCGCTCAAACCCGGAGAACGAAAAGCGTGCGAAGAGCAAGGAAAAGGTAGAAAGAGATTGGGTGAAAGAGATGAGGAACGGGTTGGACGAAGTGCGCACCAAGCTGCGGCAACAACGTCACCGCTAATAGTTGTGCTTCTTTAACTGAGGACTGTGTGTCGCTGCATAAATTCGAAAAGAAAAGGTTCGTTGCAGTCACCATCAGCTCTTTCCTAATCGCAAACTATGTCGCACGTAGAAGCTTCCAACTCGCAGTCGCCAGATTCTTCCTTATCAGAATTGCTGAGTTCACAAGTTTCTCAACCTGCGAAAGATTTTTCCGTCAATAAATTAGACTGTGATGGAACCAGCAGAATCTGTAATCAAGAAAATGAATCAGAAGGACGAAATCGAGGAGCAAGGACAGATTATCCAATGGCCAGATTATGTTTCTCCTAATCTTGCAGACGATGTGGATTTAATTCCCAGCCAAGTTTTTATTGTGGATCTGCTTATCCACCCATGTTTCTTTGGAAGTAGAGTCCTAATTGCTTCTGAAACTGGATTACTTAAAATCAAGGACATTACAGAAAATAAAACTGTTCTTGTCAAAAGACAACAACCTCGACATCCAAAGGAAATGTTTTCAGAAAATTCAGGCCTGAAACAAAAGAGGTCGGGACCAGTGGTTCATAAGGATCATGTTTATCTTTTCTCTGGAGAATCTGCTATCATCTGGGGAAACCGCCCACAGATTCAAGATGCTGACAAGTCTAGCCATTTCCAACACCTTGGCAGAAATTCACTGCAACTTGCAACTTTAATTGTCAAAGACTTAGCATGTTCTTTACCTGCTGAGGTATCCAAATGGGTACAAGTAAAGTGGGCACAGTCTTCAGGCTATGGTACAATATTGGATTACTTAACTGAGGAATCATTTATGTAAGATGCAGAAGTACAAGAAGCAGAATTGCAGCCAGGGGTTGAGAGCATGTTAGGCTACCCCCAGCTTGACTTACATGATTCATTTAAAGCACCTGAAAGTTATCTCATGTTGGGAGACATTTCTGCAAAGACAGCTCTATCCTCTCCTGATGTTTTTGATTTCTTCACAAGGTTAATACAGAGAATGACCCTTAAGAATTACCAGCAAGCTCTAGGCGAAGTTGTTGATACATCAAAATTTTCAAAAAAAAACAATGGTAATCCGGTCCATTCTATGGCAAGGTCTTCTGGAATGCCAGGAAATTACCTGGGACAGAACAACCCTGGCTTTCGTTGGACTTGTGGCCCTTTGGTAATTGTTACTTCTTTTGATTTTGCATTGGAGCAGTGGAGCTTTCTGATTTTCAGCTGATGGGTGCATTATACAGAGGAAAAAAGCCTAGTCTTAAAGTTGACAGCAGAGTGTGCAATATAATGGAACAAATGCTACTTTGGGTTCATGATTGGGGAATTGTTAGAAACCTCCAGAATATACACAAATTGCAGAGATTATATCAAGAAAAATGGAAAATCTTCATTGAAGGAGTAGAACAGTAACAATAACAAAGGCCGAAGCCTCCCAAAGAGAAGAGAAAGTGATTCTCTAATCTTTCCCAGTCCCAGACCAAAGTCCCAAAAAGCCTCCTTACTACCTTCCCTCTACATCTATTTATACTATAATACTGCCTAAGCCCTTATTACAACTATTATTATGATTCTTTCTATTATTAATCTAATAGGTAGGTCCCTATCAGGAATACAATTGGAGATTGTTGAAGTCTTAAATTCAGAAAGAGAAATACAGTATCACCTAGTCACATCACATGACATGAATCGAAATATGAATATCGCTAATGTTTGGTTGTGATATCATGTATCGATTCATGTTAGTCGACCTCAATATCTTTTGGGACTAAGGCTTGGATGTTGTTGTTGTTGTATGAGTGTGGATGAAGTTCTGTATGAGCTATTCAGTGCATGCTTGTCACGGCGTCGCCTAGGCGTCGCCTAGTCGCCGACTAGGCGTCCTCGCGCTAGAGAGTGAACGCCGTCTTCACTCGCCTCGCCAAAAGAGGAATAGTCACGATAGGCGTCCTCCAGTCGTCGCCTTTTTTTCCGGTCCAACAACCGTCCGCAGGCCCAGAAAAAAATAGATTTAGGCTTTTAATTGAAAACAAAGCCCAAAGGGTTCAGATAATCTTACGGGCTATTTTGCCGCCATCGTCGTCTAACTCAAGTCGTAGAGACAAGCCAGACAAGTCGGAGGAATCAAACGAACCGCATCAACTCCAGGGAGCAGGAGAGCTCGCCCGTCTCACCCTCCCTAAGTCCCTCGCGGAAGCTTATTAGCGCTGAGGAGACCAATACGTTCTATATTTTTTCTAGTAGTGGAGTAAAATTTTAATTAAGTTTTATATGTATATATATACGTATATACAGCGTATTTTGTAAACATGATATGCGCAATTATACCCACATATACTGAGTTCAGATTTGCTTTGCAGTATATTATTAATTGTTAATTTATTATATATGTTATAAAATAATAGTGTTAAACTATTTATAAAAACAAAAACTATTATATATAATGAAATGCATACTTTACTTTTTGTAATATATAAATAAATACAATTTAATTAGTAATATATTATATATAACTATATATAACTATGTATATATAATATAATATAAAATGTGCAACTAGTCGCCTAATTGTCGCCTAGGCGGGCGCCTTATCGCCTAGGCAATATGGCGGTTGGCTGGCGCCGCGACTCGACTTACCGCCGTGACAAGTATGATTCAGTGTGAAGTTTCACTCAAGAGATAGGATGAAATCAGAGGCAAATGCTATGCTAAGGCTGGTCAAGAGTTTTTCATCTAGAGGACTAGAAGTATGGGAACGTCTGATACCGCCATCAGCGAGGTACTGAGAAGGGAGAGGCACCAAAGGGAAGTTGAATTCCAGGCTTGGTTCCTATCTTCCCACCTTGAGGACAAGGTGGATGTTTAGGGGGGGAAGTATTGATAGGAATCAGGTCAAGTCTATTCTAGAGAAATAAATAGACTAGTTGGTTAATAGTTGTTTTCTGTTATTAGCTATTAACTACTTTCGGTTGACCTAGGAGGCTATAAATAGAATAAGTTTCGGAGAGGTCAATGAGGCTGTTAGAGAGTTGTATCCGGAACTGGGAAGATTGAGACTTATCATCTCTTTCTTTGGGCTTCGTAGTATTGGTTTCCACCATTAATGAAGTTGGATCTTGTTTCTTGAATTCTACTCTTTCTTTTCTGTAAATTCTATACACCTGCGAGTACTCTATAAAAGTCTTGGGAAAAATAATCATAGCATTCAACAACAGCATCACACAACATTGCAACATGTAAATCCAGCAAGAGATGTTACCCAATAATAATAAAAGATGCACAGTGAAGGAAAAAAACAAATAGCCTTCAACTCTGTAATTCCTAGTAGTACAAATAGCCAACTACTCTTGCATTTTGTGTGGCTAACACTTGTTGCAGAAACCGTTAACCATTGACCACAAATTCCTCCATACTGACAAATTACAAAATCAGACAGTGGCTGCATGTGTTGTGCATACACACTGCTGAATTTGAGCAAATCCAAGATTTTCTTAAAACCAGAAAATCTGTTTCTAAGAGACTGATTAACATGGTTGTACAAGTACAAAATGAAAAATATGAAAGTTTACCTTGATCATCCCAAGTCACTAGTTCAATCTTCTTCTCCTAGTTTCACGGGCAACATCATCTGGAAACCTCAACGGGGTAAATCGTCTCCTGTACGATGAAGCAGAACGAGGAAAAGACAGACTTGTAGTGGGGGGTATCAGGGTTCCCAGTTGCACAAAAGCATCAGAGTCTTCATTTCCATGAGAAGTGGAAGGAACAGATGCAGGCGAACTTATCTCAGTTTCCGCATCCAGAATCTGATGCTCCAATTGTGCAACACTATTTTCTCTTCCAAATGACTCATTGGCTGGATCACCAGCAGTTGATGAATCCTGAGCTCTGTCCCTATGTAACAAGCGGTCAGAAATGGACGCCGCAAGGTCCTCAAATATCCGCTGTGCATTATCTAATTCTGAAGACAGAGAAGCAGCACTTTCTGATAAAACCCTTGAAAACTCATGGGAGCGCACTTGACGGGCTTCACCTGCAGTTTGGAACTCCTGAGAAGTTGTAGTCACATTCACATTAATGCCAATCGGCTCTGGTGCGTGTGGGTGTGGGTGTGGGTGCGGGTGTGGGTGCTCAGGCATTCCAATCCCAATACTAGCCCTGATTCGCCTAAGTGCTTCAGCCACCGGAATATGTGATAAACCACGGGTCAGATGCTGCTGCCTAACACTTTCAACTCGGCGTGCTTTTGGCCTTGGCGGTATTTTCGTACCAGCTTCCATTTCCATCCCACAGTTACTGCTTCCATTACAATAAATAGGAATGACCTTACCATCTGCAACCTCTCCATCGCAAACAGGACACTCCTTGACCATAGAATCAACATATGGCAACTGGAAAAAACATGCCCAACAGTACAAATGACCGCAACAGGTCAAAACTGGCTCCCGTGCCATGCTTAAGCATATATTGCAATCGAAAAAGGTCCCACCATCTTTGTCTCCCTTCTTCACCTCAGAATCCAAAGCCAATGCTTTTGCCACCAAATGGCTGCTGTCCCTTTTGCAGCCTCTCCCACTACCAGAACTCATACCCACCACAACACCCCCACTAGCCTCAACAGCAATGACATTTTCTCCATCCAAAGTATCAGTTTCTGGAAAGTTCTGTGTGAGGCGCCACCTATGCCGTTCCCATGCTCGGGCCGTGACAGCTTCAAGATGTCGGATTCTCTCCTCGATCCGACTATGGGCACTCTCTAAATCACTCAAGAAAGACCTGAAACCCAGACCTGAATCAGGGGGCCCCGGGTCTGAGGGTTCTTGGTTCAAATCAAGGTCCATTATCATATCATCTAAAACATTATCACCCATCACGTGTAACCTACGTCAGATGAATATTATTAATATGCTGTTCAAGCCCTACTCCATGCTCCCACATACTACAACACTTCCAAAGTCCATCTGCGGAATAGAATAGCTCTTACGACCCTAAAAGTAAGAATCCAGAAACCAAATACCATTAAAGTAACAATCTTTGAGAATTAACTAACAATTGGACATAAGACACTGAATGGATGCAAACAAGGGTTAAGGATGGTGTTCATCAAGTTCGAGGGTTTGATTCTAACCTGGACCAAGGAGGGGACTTCGGCTATGGAACGCCTAAAACGCAAGGGTTCATAGCGTCTGGAGCTTCTAACAGAAATCAAATTAGGGTTTCTCCCCCGTAACGAGAAACAACTCGATTGGATCAGGGAGTCGGAGAGATAGAGATGAGAGAGAAGTATCCTTTCGAAGATTTGGCACAATAATGGGCCATGGAATCCTATGAGAAACAGCATACAAAACGAAAACGCCGTCTTTAATCAGGAGTCATGACCCAAGTTTGACACCAAAAATGATAAAGTTTTCTAGGTCAACAAAAAAAGAGAAAGTTGACAAAATCTCATTGGACGGGTAACTCATAAGTCAAAGGGTGACAAGTTAAAGTTGATTGTAGTTATAAGTAATTTCTCTTATTTAGGAAATATAAATATAGCGTTTTATAGTTATATCGATATGCCATGTGCGTTACATCTGCCCAATGAGGGCTATTTATATTAGTCATAAATGTTAGGTGCATTAATTTCATATACACGTGTGAGCTAGTTTACATGCAAAGCCCTACAATGTATGAAAACTAGGCGCATGACGTTGGTGGAGATCGTTGTGTGGCGGACCAGGTGCTTGGTACCCCTCATGTTTGTTAAAGGATCATACTGCTAGCTTTGTTATGTTCTTCTGTAAAGTCCTCGGTCAAGCCTAGGTGTGCAAGAAGAGGGGTTGGCCAGACACTATTTCCGAAGTCATACAACTGACTTGTCAAGGTGTCCTTGTGGATGTGCCCTCCATTGGTCAAGGGCACATACGAGGGTTATGCCCAGGTAGCTATAGGGTTGTTGCATATGTCAATGAGTATGTGGGACATAAGATTGAGCCCATATTCTCGATCAGGAGTCTCTAACTCTTTTATCGAGAACGTGCAAGACGCGATGAGTACATTATGTTGATCTTTTTTGAACATTTTCGCTTTGTTTGTATCCTCATTTGAGGCCGAGGAGCAATCCCCCACTATTTTCGGCTGAGACTAACATGGGAAGGACGAGTAGATGGTTAGTTATGTTGAGGACCAAAGGTACATTCCTGAGTCCAAACTGAAGATTCAATCTCTCCGGCAAACCCCGATTAAGGTAACCCTGTGGGGGAATCCTTGGCTGAAGGTCGCTAGCCTGAGACCATCATGTATGGTACCGAGGTGGGGAAGCCCTTTGATGATATTTGGTGTTTGATAGCTTAAAGATGGAGCCGGTGGGCATTTAACAATACTAGTGGATGTGAGTTCTAGGTGTGAGGTTAGTTGCACGTATTAGTGGCTGGTGGGCCGTGGTGATGAGTGTTTTGCACTGAGGGTGTAATTGAAGTTGGATTGTGGATCCATTCTTTAGACATTCGAGAGACCTGCTTGTGCCTAAATGTGGGACCTTGCACTCGATTCGTCGAGGTGTGTGTAAAGTTTCATGGGGCAAGTGGCTAGAAGCCATGTAGACGCATCGATTGGATCGAGCCCGTCCAATTCGGTGGAACGTGTGCCGACCGCTAGGAATTAATCATCACTCCATCTATATACACCACTTGCAATGATCATTTATGTTTTTGTTCTTTCTTGATTTGAGACGAGGTGTTGTCCAACTCTTTATGTAGATAAAGTTCCTTGTTGTTCATCACAGAGTAAAGGTTAGTTCTTCGCAAAAACTTCTCTGTGTCCATATATTTTTCCCTCGGGTGGGTTAGATCGAGTATCAGACCACCAAGGTAGTCGGTAGATCCTAGCTATAGTCTTCGTAGTTATTTTGAGTGTTTAAGATGTCATCAACAAACTCCCATGATATCTCGAGGACGCCTCATATTCCGGTCGAGATTGAATCATAAGAGTAGGATGATCTTGAGAAAGGAGAAGAGGTCGTGCAGCTGAAAGCAATGGAGAGGCAACCAGAGGATTTTGCTATTTACACCAATGTTGACAAAGACGAGAGGTCATCTACTAAGGTGTCGCTCCGAGGTCAATAGGAGCCCTCGACGTCTAGCCAGATCTCATGCATGTCCTCATCCAATTTCTGCGACCCACGGGGCCGAGGTGAAGCTGGGGAAGAAAAGACACAGGTAGTATGTGCCACTGGGGGGGTTGATTGAGGGTTCTCCTTAAGGCAATGGCTTATCCAGGAATTGTGGTGTGTGGGGGCGAATTCATAGTACTCACTTTGTCCCATAAAATTCTTCTCACTTATATTTTTTTGGATGTCCCAAAAAATTCTTTTTTCATTTCCTTTTTTTGGAGAGTTTTGTGTGGCTAACATTCGTTTACCTTTTTCTTATTCAACCACAGTCATATATTTCCATTTTATTCTCACTTCCTTAAACTTTGATCCAAGTCAAACCGAGAAGAATTTTATAAGACGGAGGGAGTATATATTATTTCAAGCATGTCACAAGCAGCTGAACACTTTAACAAAAATAGTACAAAATTTATTATAAATACAAACTAATCCGTCAACTAAAAAATATGAAATCGGTCATACTTAACAAATTTGACACATAAATTTTAATTTTTTGATATTATGTTACTAAATAAATAATTTGAATAAGGGAGAGATAGTGTAGGAATTTAGAATTAATGTAAATTGTGACATTGTGAGTGCAAAATTATATCTAAAAATGAGTTTATATTATGTGTAAAATGTAATGAAGTATATTTTAACTCGAAAAATGTAATGAAGTTAGATTAAATATAAAAATGCAAGTATATAGTAAGTCACTTTAAATTTGATGATTAAAACTTTATAAAGGAAACAAGGAAGATAATGGATGGAAAATAAAAATTTGGAACAAAAAGTGCAGGAAGGTCTCAAAACTTCAACCTAAGTGTAGAACTTCAAACGCACGCACCTCCTTTCCACTTCACTAGGTTGCTCTTCAGTTATAATTTGCTTAATTATGGTATATATTATGTATATTTAGCACACAAATATATGTATAATTGAATTTTTAAATATATATGTAGGGGTTGAGTAAGGGCAACTGCCCCCTGCCCCCACCCTGGATATGCCACTGCCGGCTTAAGGGATTGTTTCAACATGCTAATCATTCTGTCAAACAATAGGAGGTATGACCTCCATTTGACAACAATGATGGTGGGGCCATCTAATAGGATTCGGGTTCATGAGCTGATGGCGTCTTATCCACTAATGGGATACTTTGGAGTGTATTCCCTCTCAGTGGCGAAGGCATGGGGTTCCCTCTCCATCCCTTTGATTATAATTACGGGAGGTTCACCGTTCTCCGGTCGGCTTAACTGACATTGAACAACTACAACCTTCTGGTGGGGTTCCTCATCCGCTGCCATGAACCAGAGATGGAGTTAACTCTATGCTTTTTTTAAACTTGTATCATACTCATATCAGTTTTGCTAATATTCAGCATAGGCGTGGCAATGGGTTGGGGTGGGGCGGGGGCGGATAGTATAGGATCTGAACCCGCCCCATGACATAACTAGGTGGACCCGCCCCGCCCGCCCCGTGATAGCCGTTATATTTACTTATGTTTACCATGAGTATTCATAAGTATTTGATGAAGAAAAGAAGAGAAATCGGGCAAATACCTTCAGAATGAGAGCTAGATCATAAAACATTGTGATGAACGACTTTTTGGACCAAGAAGATGACGTTTTGCCCATAATTCAAGTATAACTTATTGTAGAGAATTCCAAATGCCTCGACTCAAAGTTTCATGTGAATGATAACTCAACAAGATACAAATGTTGTGAAGACATCATGGCCATAATATGAAAGGAGCATCAAGACTCAATCAACCAATAAAGTTAGATGTTGTTGGTGGGATTTCAGGATTCATACCTCTCGGTGTTTTATCCATATCTTTTGATTGGATGATTGAAAATACGTAAATCAAGTTTTGGAGGATAGAAGACTTCATTATATAACACTTTGATTAAGGATCCACAAATTCGTAACGTACAAAAAGTTATATCGTCTAGCGCCGGCAAGTCCACAATCAGCGCCGCTCAGGCTGAAATTCTGTGAAAGGGAGCTATTGTTTGCAACCGAGGCCAATTGTGGACCCAATCGGCGCCGTTCATGTGTGAAATACAAAGAAATTGCCTCCAAACCGGAGCCGGTCATGCCCAACCGGCGCCGGTGATCTCAAATCTGCATAAAAAGCAAACGACGTGCAAAGATATATTGAGTTGATTTGAAGATATTTGGGAGGTATGGCTCGGAAATTCTCCACAAGTTGATTGAGGATCATGAATAGACCATAAAAGATCATTTTCAAGCCTATATAAACCCTCTAATCCATCCCAAATTCATCATTCAATTCCAATTTAATCCATTAGTTCATAACTAGTTTTTATAGTTTTTATTTGTTCTTCATGGTGTTCTTGAGGTGTGGAAACCCATTTCTTCCAACCATTGATGCTTAGGTAATATTTCCTTTGTATTTACATGATCTTCTACATTAATAGTATTGTAATATTGGTTAATATGAGCGTTAGAGGCTAAGTCCTTACGTCAAGGCTCGGGATGAACCTTTACGCCCGCTAGTTTTTGATATTTGTTCTAAGTCAAATTTTATGATCTATTCTTCTTATGTTTAACTTTTCATATATGTTATGCAACATAATAGTATAATATATGTATCGATATGAAGTAACTAACGTTGAAATATCAATTGGACACTAAAAGAAGTAATTCGCGTTTTACTCTCTTTAAGTTAGATCTATACAATTACGTAACATTTAGAGGTTTATATGGTCAATAAACCTTGCAATATAAATCGTTCTCTAGAAGAATAAACATACAAAGTATTGATGATAGAAATATATATGATCTTGCATGATGCGTGTGTGGTATCTTAATATTCAAAGGGGGTTTCTCTAGATGAATGTGAGCCATAACGGGACTCACACATAGCGAAAATCACGCTCTCATTGCCTTAACGAGAGTCGAGAATATAGTACTGATACCGTACTCATAAGAATTGGCAAAGAACTTATATTAACTTCGAGTTAACGTTTAGGGGAATCCCGATGCCTTGGTCATTTTATCATATATTTACTTAAGCAATAAAAATCACTACACTTTACTTTTATTCTCTGTTTTAATTCTCAAAACTGAACTTTATAAACGATGTTTCCTTGTGGATTCGACCCGGTATTTTACCGGAACTTATTACTTTATCGGCACTTGTATACTTGCAAGTTTAGCCCAATCACCCCGTGACCCGCACGGGTCATTAGATGTTGGCCCATGACTCGTC